CCATTTTTTCCCTAAGATGTTTTTTATTTCCATGAAGTTTGATTTCGTCTATAAGAATCAAAATCTCCGAAATCCAAATTACAGATTCTAGCTTACAGAAACATGGTTTGATCATTAGATTTGTTCCTAGAAGAAAACGTGTGCCTTTAAGACGGTGCGCCGAGATAGAATGCAAGGCGAAGAATGTCGCTGAAGATTCCACCGGCTGTGACTTGAGCACCAGCACCAGGTCCACGGACAATCAGAGGCTGTTCATAGTACCGTGTAGTTGTGAAAGCGATGATATTATCAGCGCCTGAGAGCTGAGCAAACGGGTGATCTTTCTTGTAACGTTTCAACTCGACCGTTCCCTTTTTCCCTAGTGCGTCTACAACTCCTACGTATCTCAAGACCTAAAACCAGACACAGCCCAAATGAGTTCTTCTGAGGCAGTACATTTGGTTTAAATGAGTTATGCAGAGGGGTACTACTTACTTCTCCTGCAGCTTCAGCTTCTTGTCTTTGTTTGGACAATTCTTCATCAAACTGAGGTAGTTTCTCCATGAACTCTTCTGCTGATGCGCAAGCCTGTCATTAACAACGGAATAGAACACTGAAATGTTAGAAAGGATTTATCTTTATTGGTGATGAGTTTACTTGTTTGATTATAGAAATACTTACTTGTAAAGGCTTTGGCACGAGATTCTGGACTGGGAGGCCGTCAAGATCTAATTTTAAGCCTGATTCTCGGGCGAGAATTGTCACCTGCAGAGGAAGCAGACACGAGAAGGTTTATAAAATCACTTAACTGGTCACACACTGCGTTTTGACTCGATTTAATGGCAGAAAAATCTTACTTTTCTGGCAACATCTGTTCCAGATAGATCGTCTCGTGGATCTGGCTCTGTGAAACCTGCCTGCTTTGCTTCTGCTACAACTTCACTGAAGCTTCTTGTGCCGACAAAATTGTTGAAAAGGTAGCTTAATGTCCCACTGCAACAAGGCATCAAAGCAAAATTTTAGTGTGAAGGTGCACAGACGGCAAAGCCATTCTCGTTTTGGTATCTAGAACAGTTGCTGCAGTAGCAAGCTGAAACAAGAGATACCTGAAAATTCCCTCAATCCGCAGTATTTTATCCCCTGTTTCGAGAAGACCACGTAAGGTGCTGATGATTGGAAGACCAGCTCCAACGGTTGCTTCATAGAAGTAATGTGCGTACGATTTTCTTTGAAGATCTCTGATCTTTAGATACTGCATTCACAGAGGAGAATGTTACCAACTAGACTCTCTGTTCATAGAATATGGAACCTCAATGGATATATAACCAACAAGAACGGATTTGCAGCTTCCTATTCAATTCATTTTAAGCAAAATCAAACACTTTACCTGATCAAGTGGTCCTGAGTTAGCCTTTTTGTTTGGGGTGACCACATGAATTCCTCGCAGCAACCAGTTGTAGTAACAGCTTGCAATATCAGCATCAGCCGTACAATCAACCATAACAGAGTTTGGAATGAAATGATTTCCCTTCACATATTGAGTGAACTTCTCCATGTTAGCTGGCTCTCCCTCTTCTTTCATAAGTTCTCTCCATCTTGATAAGTCGATTCCCCTAAAAGATGATGAATTTGTAAGGAAAAAGCAGTAATGCAGTTCACCTACAAGGCACTCTATTAAGTTCATCAACTTACGATTCACTCATCAACATTTTACTTGAGCCAGTGATTCCTATAACACGCAAGTCAATTTTAAACTCTTCTTTGAGTACTGCAGCCTGTGAAAAGAAATTTAAAGATGAATCAGCTTACCTGATCTCTAATCTGATCTCACAGATACACAGCAGATACTTACCTGATCTCTAATCTGATCAAGTAAGGTTCCACCAATTAAACCCGGTCCTATGATTCCCACTGCCAGCATGGTTCTCGAAAGGTAAAATCTTGAGTGCACAGCTCTTAATGCCCTAATGCAATCTTCACGCTTGATAACTACTGTAATATTGAACTCGGAACAACCTTGAGCTATAGCACGGATGTTTATATTGGCCTGCAGGTACGAGAAGGCAATGTATCTATCAACAGAGCTTCTTAGCAGAAAAAGAAAAAGAAAATGAAACGGATGACTCCAGTTTTTCTTTCCAAACACTACATTTAATTTACCTTGGCCAACGCATTGAAAAAAGTAGCAGAAACGCCAGGAGTGCTAGCCATTTTCTGGCCAACTGCTGCTAATATGCTACAATTAGGGATGATTTCAATCTGAAAACAAAAAAAAACCATAGTTTGAGAAAAATAGGCGATGAATAAACAAGATCCTACTATTTTCTAAACAGGTGATGTACATAGGCGATGCATAAACAAGATCCTGATGTTTTCTAAACAGGTGTTGAACATGCGCTCATTTACTATGGGAGTTGAAGGAATAGTTAGTTGATATCTTTTGAAGAACAGAGAGAGGTTTAGGACTAGGAGCACCTGAGAAAGGCGTCCACCAGCTAAAGCTTCACGAAAGCGTGAGTTCAATGCTTCAGAGACGGCTTTAACTTCCTTCTCAGGTACAGCAAAGCACACAGAATGCTCACTACTAGCCTGCATTTATGAAATACTACTAAGCACCCACAATTGACAATGGAAAAAAACCCGATAAAGATACCAGAAAGCTGAACTAGATGATCCAAATACCTGTGAGATCATAATCACATTAGCTCCAACTTCCTTGACAGCAGAAAAAATGGCACTGGCAGTACCAGGAACACCAGCCATTCCAGTTCTGCAAAGAGAATGCTAAGTCTGTATAAGAAAAAAAAAACATTGATTGTGTAGGACACACAATATCCACAGTTAGCTCACCCTTCTACATTTACAAGGGCCAAATTGTCAATCGTTGCAAACCCTTTGACAGGAGCATCTAATTTGTATCCATCTTCATCTTCACTCTGCCGACATATCATTGTTCCAGGGGCAGAAAGATTGAAAATATTCCTTATTACAATTGGGATGTCATATTTCATCACTGGAATGATGGTTCGAGGATGTAAAACGTTTGCCCCAAAGTAAGACTGCGCAAGCATGTGAACACGAAAATTAGGGTGTAGACAATGAATATGAAGAATTAGGCATTAAAACAAGTGCAAGAGTTTGAAAACTTACCATTTCCCAAGCTTCTTGATAAGAAAGAGTCTGCAGAATAACAGCTTCGCTAACTGCATATAAACATATTTATTAGCATAACGATAGAAAAAGACAGAGGAACACACACAGTAATGGCTTAAGATCTAGTCCTAGCTATCCGGTTGTTAGATATAGACAATGCTTGGACATACCTTTCCTTGGATCTGCACTGTAAACACCATCAACATCTGTCCAGATTGTGAGTTGGTGAGATCTAAACAGAGCACCCATTATAGCTGCAGAGAAGTCACTCCCATCCCTCTTAAGAGTCGTTGGAATGTTCTGCGGTGTACTGGCTATGAAGCCAGTTGCGATAATAATCTTTGACGAGTTCTGAGTAAACCATTTTTCCAGTCTCTTTTCTGATTCCACAAAGTCAGGATCAACTTGATTAGAGCTTGTAGGACTAACAACAAGCACATCCCTTGCATCCATCCATGTGCAGTCCAATCCTCTCTATGAGCAAAACAGACACAAGCATATGAGAAGAACAATTAGCTTGTTCCTTTGAGAAGTTTATCGCAACACGTCATATAGGACTTTCATACCTTTCTCACAACAGCAGCTAACATCTGAGCAGACCACAACTCTCCATGACCCACAACGAAGTCTGAGAAAGACTCTGTTGCATGACCAGCTGCAGAGATAATAGAGTTAATAACACGAGGAAATAAGATTTCAGAAGAACATATACAAATCCAATTCAATTAACCTCATAACAATATGCATTAAGCATTGACAAATTGAAAAAAAAAAAAACATTACCTATGTAAATGGCACGAAGCATAGCTTTGAGATTGTTTATATCATCATGCAACCGAGCCAAGAAACTCGCTAGCTCGTCTCCATCAAGCAAATCAAGAGCCGTCGCTCGGTGCTTTTCAAGAACAGCTTCCAAAGCAGACAGGTATGAATCATCACGAGACTGTGCTCTGTGAATCAGATCATACATCATATCAGTGACCTTAGCCATTGCTGACACAACCACCAACTTCCTCTCAGAATCATCCTTAACTACAACATCGGCAACATCTTTAATCCTCTCAGAGTTTCCCACACAAGTTCCTCCAAATTTGTGTACAGCCCACGAATCTCCTTTTGGAAGATGACCATTCTCCACTGAATTATCCAACGATGAATCTATTCGAAAATTCGTAAGAAAATGCGAATCAACATCAACAAAATACACAACACTCACCAATTTCCCCAGATTATGCAAAGGCCAGATTTCAAACCTATGACTGAACCTAGAACACGAGAACTCTGCAATTCGCTTCTTACGCAATGACTTATGCAACTCCGGCGCCTCAAATTTCCAAAGGAAACACGATTCGACACGAGTCGTTTCCCGTAAAAGCACGGAACGCGAATTGTGAAATTTCCCGCCGCCGTGGCCGCCGACGGAGAAGTAGCAACCTTAGTCAGAGAAACCACCGGCATATTCTGCATAAATTTTCAAGTTCGACGAAGATTAGACTCTAAGATAGTGGATTTATTGGATTCATTCATACAACGACGAAATGTAAAGAGAAGGACGAACAATCATACCGATGCCAAGCTTAATAACTCTCAGTAGAACACTACCGGAAGGTATAGACGAGAATTATCGCCGGAGAAGAAGAAATCGCCGAGATCGGAGAAACAAACAAATTCGGAATATCAGTGGCAATCCAGTAAATGTTGAGAAGGAAGGCGACTAGTTTTGTTATATATGAATCTTAGTGGGGTTTTAGAACTGTGATTAAAACTCGATGGCTGAGTGGAATGCCACGTGTACGTACTCTATTGTTTCTCTGATGCATCAACGGTTGCGATAAAAACAAATTCAGAATCTGACTATCCGAGCCACACTAGAGTCAAGTAACTCAAGTGGCTAAAACACACATTAAATTTGGTGAAAAGAAATAAAACACATGACATTTCTGTTTTTAATTTCACCAACTTGTACAAGTGTATATATATTATTATTATAGGTATGGATTGTAGGAATTTTCTTCTTTTTCTCAAAATATGCATAACGATGGACATCATCGTAAGGGTTTAGCATCATGTCAATCTTTTAATTTAGAAACAAAAACTATTGTTTAAACATGCGGCAAATTTACTGATTATAAATAAGATAATTCTCAACATGGTTTAGTGACCAACCAAAATTACATTAAGATTAAGTAAATTTTGTACTCAACCCTTTTTTTTTTTCACTAACGCACTTGTTATTTGGTCAAAAATATACCGAAATATTTGTGAACCAAAAGAGAACAGAAGAGTTAATATTGATTAAATCATGTAAATCTGTAATGAACATCGAGCAATATTTTTTTTCTTCCGTAAACTTTCCATGGCCCATAGCATATTGTGCAACTCCGTGTGTAGTGGATCTGTCTCATTCCTCTGAAACCTAGTAGATCTATCTCTCCATCCTAAAGTTGTAGTATCCATCCCACACCACTTGTAAGTTCATCCTCCTTCCAAGATCGATGAAACACATGAAGATTGCCGAAAAATATTAATAAAATTTTGTAGTCAACCAATAACCACCGATTGGAAATATTAATAAATAAAGCTAGAGATCTTATGATCTAATGGCACCGTTGAAAAAATCCATATTATATGTTCAGTTTTTTGGTCTGGTGAGATAAATGGACCAAGATTTGTTTTCCGATTTGGGATATGTATGAACCTCGACCCATATATATTCCTAAAAATACATAAAAGTTTTAGTTAAATCTTCAAATGTTCAATACTCTTTTTATAGTCAGTAAATACAGTTCGTTAATAAGTAAACAAACATGTTAATCTACATCTAGCCAATAAATCCAAAATCCTCCCTCTCTAAAAAAATCTTTAAAGTTAATGTTTCTAAATACATTTTGATTTTTTTTTCTTTTTATTAATTCAATTGATTTTATAATTCATTATGTTACATTACCATTATGACTTATATAGTGTATCTATATTAAAGAGATGTAAATTTGGGCAAATGTCTCATGGTAACAATGTATCATAATAAATTAAAAAATCAATTGAATTAAAAAAATAGTTAATATTTGATGAATAAAAGTCAAAACATATCTAAAAACATTAATTTTTGTAATGTTTCTCTTTGTCTCATTTATTTCAATTTTATTGTATATATATAGTACTTATGCTTCTATAAAATTCTATTTACCCTATGATTTTCATCTTAACTCTCTAAAATGAAATTATATTGTCAAAGGATGCTCCTATCATTGTTGGCTTGTATCGTTTTTCTTGACAAGATGACGAACCTCAATAATCGTTCTGTGTACGCAAGATCATTTCAAAATTTCAGCGATTTTGAAATTGAAAAGCAAATCAAAATCATTCAAGTTTGTTAAATTTTTTTTTCAAAGCATATCTATTCATGATGAATACTACATTTATATGTATGCACGTTCTATCGCTATGATGAATGAAAGTTTTATAAAGTAATATTGTTTTAATTGATTTCGTTTACGGATTATAGACTACATATGGTGATACATATGAATGCGTGGATTTTTACAAACAACCAGCATTTGGCCATCTTTCAATGAAAAAGAACTCATTCCACCACGAAGTATGTATTATACTTAATATTTGTGAGTTGGATTATTAATCCAGTCGTTAACCATTTTTTTTTTATGAAATGTAGATACATCCAAAATCATCCCTAAAAAGTTCAAAAACAAACAATAAAAAATTTGGTTACTTGTGGAAAAATGGTATAGGTTGTTCTATTGGCAATGTACCTATAAATAGACTCACCAAAGAATATATGTTAAGATCATACTCATTGTCTAAAACATATAAACCCCAAGGTTCTTGGAATTTTACTTATAATCAATATATTGTTGGTAGTGACCAACATCATGTAAGTTGCATATTATTTGCTATTTTCCATCCAAGGA